TATTTAATATATAATATATATATAGATATTATATATTATATATATATATTTATATATATAGTCACACATAGATATAGATATGTTATAGATATAGATATAGATATATACATATATATATGTATGTATGTATATAAATAGATAGATAGATAGATAGAAGATAGATATACATACATACATGCAATGTTCTACATAAAACACCGACGAAATGGCTTCCCGTTGAGCCTAAGCAAGAAGCCTCAAAGAAATCAATCACTGTTCACAGAAGTCAATAACAGAATAAGAATGACAGGCGTGATAAACAAGTACAAGAGATGTATATGAGTGAGAGAGAATGAGATTGAGAGGCAGAGGAGGAGAGAGGGATAGAGAGGGAGATTTTGATTATATGGAGAGAGTGATGATAATGGTAATGAATGGTGGTGGTACGTGGTGTGGTGATGATGATGATAATGATGATTGATGATAGAATGACAAACACAGTAATAATGAATATAATAATGATGATAACAATTAAAACCAAAAAAATAGATTCATTATCGTATAATTTTTTACAAGCTATAACTGATTTTTTATCATAGAATTTTTCGAATTTAGTTAAAATCGGTATGGGACTGACTATGGTACTGATACTGATTATCATAAACAACAATAGTTATGATATTGGGCAATAAAAGCAATAATGATGATGATGATAATAATGATAATGATGATAATAATGATGATGATGATAGTTTTGATTATGATAATGATGATGATGATAGTTTTGATTGTGATAATGATGGTAATGCTAAAATCAAGAAATAGAAAAATGAGAAAAGTGATTGATGATACTTAAGATTTCGATTAAGATTTCGATGAGAAGAGTAATAAAAACGGGCTCAAAATGAAGAAGAATTAGAGAATAAACAACGTAAAAGAAAAGCAACAATAAATGTTATGATAAGATAAGGAAACGCGGAGATTTAATTATTGCGAGACACAGCACTGATAAGAAGAGATAGTGAAATTAACAGTGGCCGCATTTGTGAAAAAATGTGGATACAGAATGAAATCGGACTTTAAATTATCAGATGCCATCGTAATGCCTGATTCTTTTCAGAGAGAGAGAGAGAGAGAAGGGAGAAAGACAAAGAGAAGGGAAAGAGAGAGAGAGAGAGAAAAGAGAGAAAGATAGAGAGAAAGGAAATAAGAGAGAGGAGAAAGAGAGAGAGAGAGAGAGAAGGGAGAAGACAAAGAGAAGGGAAAGAGAGAGAGAGAGAGAAAAGAGAGAAAGATAGAGAGAGAGGAAATAAGAGAAGGGAGAAAGAGAGAGAAGGAGAGAGAGAGAGAGAGAGAGAGAGAGAGAGAGAGAGAGGAGAGAAGAAGGGAGAAAGAGAAGGGGAAAGAGAGAGAGAGAGAAAAAAGAGAGAAAGATAGAGAGAGAGAAGGAAATAAGAGAGAGAGAAGGGAGAAAGAGAGAGAGAGAGAGAGAGAGAGAAGGGAGAAAGAGAGAGAGAAGGAAAAGAGAGAGAGAGAGAGAGAGAAAAGTGAGAAAGATAGAGAGAGAGAAGGAAGAAAGAGAGAGAATAGGGAGAGAAGAGGAAGAAGGGAAAGAAACAGAGAGAGAAGGGGAGAAAGAGAGAGAGAGAAGGGAAAAAGGAGATGAGAGAAGGGAGAGAAAAGGTGAGAGAGAGAGAAAGGAGAAAGAAAGAGAGAGAAGGAGAAAGAGAGAGAAATTGTGCATGTATACGTCAAAGGTGTTATGCTTTATCGTGGATTTATCGTGTTATCTATAACTTCGATCAAATCAACAAAAGCAAATTTAGTACTTATCACATCTATAAAACCGAAATTACTGTGATTCATATATATAAGCTGAATGTTCGTTCACATATATATATGGGAATTTTCATCCTCCTTGCCGTTTTTTCTAATATAATCTTAATTCTTCTTTATTTTAACACAAAACACAATAGTCACAATTTTCTCAACCCCGACAGGTGACAATGAACGCGCCAAAAATCAAACAGTTTCGAAACGCCATCTAACAACACCACAGCAGCGCGCATCTATCGAGGACGATCGCCAAACAAAAGACGATCAACAGCGAGTTATTCCAGCAGCAGATTTCCGCGGAAGAAATGGCGGTCTCTAGAACTTCCTTTATTTTCATCTGACGCGGAATGTCGGAGGGCGTGATTGCACTTACGTCTTCAGGAGAGGAAAGGGCGATGGGAAATTACCTTCTTTCGTGCAATAGTCATGAATCTTTTAGTTGTTCCTCCTTCAGGCAAAGATAAAGGGTGAGTGGTGAGGTGATCTTTTATTGCTTTTATTTTTGTTCCTACGTGAGCCCTCCCCTCCTATATGTATGCTAGATATATATTTACCTGCCTATCTAAACACACACACACACACACGCACGCACACGCACACACACACGCACACACGCACACACACACACACACACACACACACACACACACACACACACACACACACACACACACACACACACACACACACAACGCACACACACCACACACACACACGCGCGCGCGCGCGCGCGCCGCGCACACTATATATATATATATATATATATATATATATTATATTATTATATATATATATATATATATATAATATGTTCCCGATTCCCCTTTTCAGAATTAATAACATAGCACGCCTATGAGTCCCTGCATCCCAAATACACGTAATTGCAGATACGCTTGGGTGGTGGTTTCGGCGGTATTCCTAGTCAACCTGCTCGTTGCAGGATACGTTAAGAGCTTCGGTATTTTGTACATCCTTATCCTGGAGTCCTTCCCCGGCGCTTCCGGTGCTGCAGCAGGATGGATACTGGGACTTCTCGTAGGATGCCGGGGTTGCTAGGTGAGTGTTAAGGATAGGTGGTCCAAGCCTTTGTTCTGGTATGGTAGGAGGATAGGGAACAAGGGTTAATATGTTTACAAATAGGTATGACTTAATTCTAGGTATTGGGGAAGAATGAGAGGACTTTATGGTATGTCTAAATTACTTGGCTTTGCGGCTAGACAGACATGGCTTGAGGGTAAGACGCTTGAATAGTTGTCATTCAGGCAGGGTAGGTGTGCATTATATCCACAGATTTCGCAACGAGAAATGTATGGTTAAATGAATATACAATTATCCTTTATTTATACTGCTAGTTAGCAGGGTAACTAAAAGTAAGAATATTTTTAAAAATATTTTTAAAAGTTAACATATTTTTTAATTTATTTAACCAGAGGTATGTCTTAGCCCAAATTACATGCCATTAGTTTTGGTGGTGATCCGGTTCCTGTGCAGGATAATTCAATTTTTATCAAAGTTCTATCAATGGTGTGTGTCTTAGAACAAATTAAACGCCATTGAATTTTAGTAGTGATCCGGATCCAGGAATTTTTTATGTAATTTTTCGTGTGAATATTTTTATTGAATCAGAGGCCCTATTGCCTTGGCGGAGGTATGCGTTCTCAAGGTGCTTCTAATATTATAGATATAACAATCACAATTCGGTTACTAGCTCATATATCTGCATGTTTATATCCTATTACAAAAGTACACGAGCAATACAAAAAGTCACAATAGAGTAAATAATAACGAAAAAAATAAGACTAATAATACAATACCCTTAAATACAATAACCCATAATACAGCAATCACTCACCCCATTCCATTGCAGCCGCGGTGATGGGAGCTTTCACAGTGATGGTAGGTCCTCGTGCGTGTGTCATCATAGGCTCCCTGACCGTGACAGCTGGTCTGCTGGCTGCTGTTCCCGCTGTTTCCATCGTGCATATTGCCTTTACTCTGGGAGCGCTTGTAGGTATGGTCTGGTGTTGTCGGATTTTTTGGCACTATTTTGGTGTTAAAATGTTGGGGGGGGGGAGTTTGCATTGTCTAAACGGTTGGATAATTTGTTGCCAAAGTGATAGGTTGAAAGGTACGAAAACAAATGAATAAATAACTTAACAAAAGATATGAATCTTTTATTAAGAAGCAGAACTAAATAAAATCAAACAAAATAAACTAAAAAGCATTAAGAGTACAAACCTCTACGGACGCAAAAATCTGTCTGAGTATAGTTGTAAAAATCAGTTGTAAAAAAAAAAAACAGCTTCAAAACACCTATCATAATTTCCCAGTGAGTGCTTACGCTGGTGGAATTACAAAAAAAAATCTAATCTCTGGATTTCTCCACAAAGCGTCTGTGCCTCAGAAAAGAAAGAAAAAACACACCTTCACCTAGTACATTTGATGTTTCACACAAAAAAATATGACATTAAAATCATATCTACCGTTTTTTTTCCATTCTATCAACCTGACACGAATGTCTCACCTTTCGAAAATCGTGTCTCCGTTGCAGGCGTGGGGCTGTGCATGAGCGAGACCCCGGGTTTCTTGGCGGTCACGGATTACTTCCAAGACAAGCGGGCTTTGGCCAATGGCTTCCGTGCCGCTGGGAATCCCCTCGGTGGCGTCCTCTTTTCCCCTCTCGTCGTGGCGCTGCACCAGTATTTTGGCCTCCAAGGCGCTCTCATCCTCATGGCCGGCATCATGCTCCACATGGCCATCCTCGGCGCGCTCATGAGGCCCTTCCAGATCCACCAGAATCTCGTCCAAGCTGAGTTCTGGAAGGATCAAGCTCGCCAAAATACGCCCGGCTTGAGGGTCTCGTCCTCCCAGCAGATCAAACCCTCGGACCAGAAGAGGAAGAAGAAGAAGCCACTGAACTTCCGCATGCTGAAGAACCCCTCGTACTTGATCTACCTCTTGATGGTCATGTGCGTCAACATCGCCATGCCCAACGCCCTCCTGTACACGCCTACTTATGGGAAATCAATAGGACTAAGTGCCTATGAGAATTCGGTGATCGCCTCGTACACTTCGGCATGCGATTTCGTCATGAGGTTGCTGTGCGGATGGACGTCGAGCCTGAAACTGTACGAAGCCCACCATGGTCTCATCGCCGGGTATGTGGTGTTAGATTTCCATTTGTG